TAGCCACGATGCTTTGCCATCTCATCTCGTCTGCGGCGTTCTCAGTAAAGTCAAAATTTCCTTCAGACATGTAAGCTTCCCGCAAAATATGGATTTGGGTGTAACAGGACTTAGAAGTCACCACAAGGTCGTCCGCCCAGTTCCTCGCCAAAAAGCGCTCATGAGTTTCCACAACCGCCATGATGGTTACGCACTTACCCACAAATCAAACCTAGGAGCGACAAACACACAGTCAATTGTCAAAAACTTCAACCAGCGCCAAGAAGATCAGCAAAGAGTCAAACTCTGAACCCCCACAACACCCAACTCCTACTCCCCAGACCACCGACATCCTATTACCGATAACCCAATCAAAAAACAACTCAAACACAAGAAACTTACCATAAGAGTCAGAAGTTTCTGAAGAGCTCGACGTGTAAAAATCTGAATAGCTTAAAGATGAAGGCCACCATACAGGTGGTATCTTATAAAGCCCCAGGTCTTCATAAATGGCATCCCACACGCCATACCTTATAAGTCGACCATCCTCTGGGTGGTATCTACCCAATCGGTTGTCAGTGGATTCGTCATATTTACGGCGATGGAAGGACTGGGAGATGCCGGGAATTTGGCCACGAGATGTACACAAGGAGACCTGAGATTGGCGAGGCTTGTAATAATACTCTAATGGACGGTTTTGCGGTTGGCAGTTAATAGAGGATACATGCCGAATAAGTCGCCCTGCTCCAAAAACTGAGCGCCGCGAAACACGGCGACGCGGATCGGTCCCCTGATCACAAGAACGACCAGAAGACCTAGAATGACTCCTCCATGAAGGACGAGGCCCAACCCTTTCACCAGATCCCCCAGACCGTCGCCTTCTAAATCCTCCAGACTGGAACCTACCAGATCTAGAAGCATTCTCTCCAGTCGCCACCTGGCGCCCACCCTGAAGAGGGGAAACCAGACGCCGCACCAGAATATGGAACCACAGGTCCCAAAGCCCTATCTGGTAAGAGATTTTGAATCTCCTCTTCACTGAAACCCAGAAGCTCAGGTACTCTACCATGGGGTAACGACTCGACCCCAAGAATTAAAGAGCGGTGCGGGGGAACGCTACTGCCTTCCCCACCACGACTAGCAAGGTATTCCTGCATAGACGGCCCCACTGCATAGCCATCTAGCGAGTCGTAAGCTTCATCAAACTCTTCCTCCTTAACATCCACCTCCAACTCAGGCAAGAACAAACCAGGCATGGGTTCCGTAAACTTGACCATCATAAGAAGAACGAGAAGGGAAGCAAAGCCAAAGAAATTTAAAGAAATATGAAAGCTACAAGCTAGAAACACTGTACGTGAGATAATGCAGAGAATGAAGAAAGAAAGACCGGCACGAGCACACTCACACAGAGAGAAAACGAGTAAGGCAAGAACAATGAGGAGTCTAAGATTCTTGAAGAAGGTCCTCAAGGAGGTCCTTCTCTCCTTTAAATAGGGAGAGAAGGAGCAAGATGGCATAACACGTTTAGTGCCCTACTTTTTTTACCGTAGGATGACACAACTGTCAGGTAACAGGCGGTTGTGATGAGGGGCCTAATGGTAATTACAGGGGGACAAGACACCCCTCACGTCGCATTAATGCGCCGTGCTTCGTGACGCTTGAGTGCCTGCAGTTAATTGTAATGATGGAGGCACCTATCATTACTGCTCCTCAAAAATCGAAAAGCCACCTTGTCTGTCAGAATGACTGACTTTTCCCAAAAAGCCCCCTACAAACCGCGCAGCCCGCCAAAGATACAAACGGTGCGAACCCCCACCCGGAACCGCCAAGTCATCAAGAGATCCCTATCCACGCCTATACCAACCACTCAGATCGCCAGCAAGGCGTCGCCCAAGCCCATTTACCTTGGCACCAACCTACGGTTGCTACCAAGCTGGAGGGCTCCTGTTCCAGATGGCCCAGCAACACAGCGGCCCAAAGGTCCAAGCCCAACCTCAACCCCACCAGCTGTCAAGACCCCCCAACTCCCAACGCGACGACTCTTCCTAGGGGAAACACCAAAATGTCCCGTCTTAGGACCCCAACCCCCAAAGGTGACCGCCCAAGATGCCATAAGGGGAAACTGCCCTTTATCCCACGTTGACACCACCAGGCACAGGGGGTGCAGCGCTGCTATCATAGCAGCGCCGGCCACGCCCAGCACTGCCACCCTTAACAGATCCCAAGGAGGGTTGACCCTCTCCTCACCAACCCACACAAGATGCACATCACCTTCCTCTATAAATAGCCCCCTGGGCACCAAGATCTTATCTTATGTATCGTTATTTTGCCCATTTACATTGAGTCACACACACACACACACACTTAACTCCATTGTTGATTGCTTGCTTCATACTTGAAACAGTGCCTCTTAGCTTGGTCTTTACCTGTGCTAAGGGCATCATCCATACAGTGACTCCATCCCCAAAGGGAACATAATGGGCTTATAGATCCCAACGCTACAATGCACTTCAGTTTATTTTGTATGTTGGGTGCCTAATTTGACCATAATATCAGTTTATTTGGTTAAAGAAAAAGGCTAATCAATAACAAATATTTAGAATCCTTTAATATTTCATCTTAACTACTAACTACTTAAAAAAATTAAATGATTTTTAAAAAAATTAATATATTAAATACTTTTATTTAGATGTTAGATATTTTTTGTTCAAATTTTAATCAAAATATGGTAACTCTTGAATGTATGAATATTTTACTCCTAGCCTTAGACTCATTCAACAATTATACTTCAATCTTAATAATTTATAATCAAGTTTTATAATTTCTTTGTCAATTGCATTTCTCTTTGAAAAATTGTTCATTATGTCTAGACCTATGCAGTGGCGGACCCACTTGCGGGCAAATGCCCGCAAGTGCGGTCATAAAAAATTTTATTTCAATTTTTTTTTTGCAGATCCTTATTTGTCTCTTAGTTCAATATATATATTAGGAGTAAATACATTTTTAAGTCTCTAGCAAAAATATGATCCCCATTTTAATCCCTTACAAAAAAAAATTAGTCTCGATGTCCCTAAAAAATTTAAAGTGAATCAATTTAGTTAAAATCGTGGTCCCTCACAAATTCAAAAAAGACCTACATTAGTCCCTCAAAAGACCAAAATTGGTCCACTTTGAATTTCATAGGGATCAGGTGACTAATTTTTTTTATAATGAACTAAAGTAGGGACCAAATTTTTTGTTAGGGATTAAAAAAGATATTTATTCTTATATTAGTTAGCAACGTACGGAGATGATTAAAACAACGTAGGAGCGCAAATTGATTAGAGAGAAAACTTATTCTTCCTCCACTGTCACGTACCCATTCTCATGCTCTCTTCATCCTTTGTTTCCTTTTTCATTTTTACAAAAAGAGAGGATTGATTGCAGGTCTGACATTCTCAAATAAGTTAATATCTAGAGACGAAGCCTTCACTGTGATTTTGCTTGCCTTATGTACTAGTAGTGTTGACTTTTTTATTCACCACTATAAAATAGAATGATGATGTATGGTAAGATTTAGGGGAGAATAATTGATCAAATTATTGCCTGCAGCTTGTTATGAAAGCAACTAGATTATGAGCGGGTTTAAGCGTTGATTTAAACTTTCTTTACAAAAAAAAAAATTCTGGGACGCTGCCCCCGAACTCCGACCACTAAATATGCGGACATAAATTTTTTTTTTCTGGACCTATAACCACCTATCAAATCCATTAAATATCTTAAATATTTGAATATACAGCTGATTTCTTTTTATAAATTATCAATTTACGGTTTGACCCTCTCATTAATTGTTTTCTTCGATAAATACTATTTCCTCCTTATCATTCAACCTCATTGATTTTAAAATTGATAAAATAATGTTTTTATAATAATGAGAAAAAAAATCAACGAAAAAAATTATTAATATGTTATTGTTAATTTTTTTATCTATTATAAAAAAAATTATCAAATAAAAGACTATTTATTTTTGTTATGTTATAAAGTGCATTAATTGCATGATATAATAAAAATAATGCCTACTATTGCTAAATGAAAAAAGAATTACACTTCTGAAGATAGTAAAGACACCATACTAAACATGAAAAAATTTAAATGTGATGTCTACACAACTTATGCAGTTACGCTCAAATATATACTATTGACGCAAATTTAATATTATTTGGATATTGAATATTTATGTGGAATCTCACTGGAAATGTTAGGGATTCGGGGTTTTAGGGAAAAAGAAAAAATGGGTTCATTTTTTCTTCGGTCAATGTAGAAAAGTTATTTACGTTAGTCCAAAACAACATTATTTTGGGACGAAAATCAAAGTATTATTATAATTATAATTTATTTTAAAATTATAATAGTCTTTCTCGTTATAATTTTTTAATTTTTTAACTCAAAGTAATATCATTTCGAAAATGAATGCTTTTTTTTTTTTGGAGGTTACAAGGAATTGAACACAACACCCTACACTACACACACTCCTGACACCCCCACACCACTAGGCTAACCCTAGTGGTTCGAAAATGAATGCTACATTCACTACAGAAACGTTAAAAATAAAAATTATGCGAACAAATTACATGAGGTTTAATAGCGCCAACGTGCTGCCTCTCATCATGTTCACCGCTTAATATGGGATTCTGCATTGTCAAATGAATAAAGAAATAAAGTTATGTCTTCATTAATAATTATAATTTTTTATTTAGAGAAAAATATTTATCCTTTCAAATGATACAATTTATGTCATTTTATTCTCATAAAGAAGTCGCATCTTTATTCTTTTTGTTCACTCTCTCTATTCATGATTTATCTCTTTCTATCACTTAAAATAACACAATTTTATATCCTTTAAAATCATACACATTTTTTACCTTTTACCTAATGATAAAAGCATTTAATCCTAACACTTCAGTTGAGTGGCCTGCTTGAGTCTGTTATTATTTTACCTTTTTATCCTTTAATCTAGTACAAATATTTTCCTCTATGTAGATTATGTTGTAATCTTTCTTCTATTTCATTTCTCATTCAACATTTATTGTGAATGATTCCAATCCATTACACATAACTCTAATCCATTCTACACAACTTCTACACATATCCCTAACTCAAAAGGACTAAAGTTACATGACTCACCAATAACCCAAGAAATTCCCATGTTTCACCATTGAAATTTACTTCTATCAACAGCAAGATGTCCATGTATGCTCTAGACTATGTGCAAATTCCTTCTCTCTGCCAAAGATTACAGTGCTGTGATCAGCATTTGGAATGATGTTAATTTCAGCATTTGGAGCCTTCAACTTGAAGTTACTACAACACTCCATTGGGACAACTTGATCTTTATCACCTTGAGTAACATTTATTCTAACTCCACCTTTGGTCAAAATTATCAAGTAACTATCCATAAATTTGGCTCCCCCACATATCACATTATGCATGGAACTCCAAGCCGATTGATGTGTGTGCCTAGTCAAGTCTATGGTCAAAAAATGAAGATCCCTGAAAAAATTAAAGAAAGACATGCTTATCATCTCTTGTGTGTCCTTAGCAATATAAGGAAGAAACTAGAAATATGTGGTGTCTTCTATTTTATTACCTCTTGCGAGTAATGAGTTTTAGAATCCTCTCCCATATCCTGTGGTTTCTGCAAAAGACAAAGCAAACAGTTCGACCCAAGTGCTCATACCATGACATAAATGATGAACCAAATGATAATGCGGGCCACAATTTTTTTCCTGCAAGCATTGCAAGTGCATTTAAACAAGCATTGTTTCCCTCAGAAGAAGTGTATGGCTGCCACCAAAACCATAAGGACAATGGAGAAATTAGGAGATATTATTAGGCAAAGATTAAAAAATAAAACACTTATTCTGACTGCAGAATGCAAATGGCATTGATTCCAAGGTTAATTGTGAATTAATATAAAAACCAGTTAAACCCTGTTAGGGATGGTAGAGGTGAGAGCAATCTTTATACACAGTCTTAGTCTTATTTGTGTATATTTGCAAAGAGACTGTTTTACAGATTTTAACCTGTGACCTTTTAGTCACAAAAGAACAGTTTTAACACTCGCTCTCTTTCTCAATAAATATGTTGCACAAAATATTATCAATTTGGCTCTGAGCAGTTCAATTCTTAAGACTTAAAAGCATTATCCAGTTTGGATGTAAGGTACTTACAGGTGCAACAAGGGTGATTGATTTTACACTCTTGGGGTACTTTGCAGCCAAGGCCAATGCAATTATGCAACCCATAGAGTGTGCAACCAAATGGAAATTACTTAATTGCAATGGTTGAATAACAGATTTCTCAATCATTTCCACATGATCCTTCAAAGTGTACAAGCAATCTCTTGGCTTTGGGCTCTTGCCAAATCCCAGCAGGTCTAGTGCAATCAAACGGTAGTTATGATTTACTTTCTCAGAAAAATGTGGAAACACTGTCTGTGACCAAAATGAGGAAGAACAAAGAAATCCATGCAAGAATATAACATTCTCAGAAGGGTATCCCCTGCAATTCTCACCAGTTTCTGTCAAACATAAATTGGTAACAATATCAGCTACACAGAAGAATGCATAGAAACATAAAAATGATTACCAAACAATAAGAACAATCAAACTAGTAGAATTACCCTACCAATTAAGCGCTCCCTCATAACAAAATGAAGTTTATAATCACCATCATTCACCCATGAAAGGCAAGACTCACACCCACAATCAGACCAACGGTTCACTGACCTTCCAAAACCTTTACTACATTTTCTATTGGAATTTTCCCTTTTTCTCCCAAGTAGTAGGAAACCCAATTCTCTGAAAATGCTCTTCCTTTCATACAGGCTATCTGATAGACCATCATCTTCATCATTTGTCACATAAATCTTCTTCTTATTTTGCCTTTTGCTGTTAGAGCAGCAACAAGGGGAGGCCTCCCCTTCAATGCGTTCATCAAGGTATCTATAGATAACGCAGAAAACAGCATCAAGAAGGTCAAATATGAGGAAAACAACGAAACATATGATTGAGTAGAGTACTCGAGCACAATTGCTTAGCCATTTTGGTGAGGAAACTGCTGGAGACATGGTCTTGTATTGAAACCAAAATCTTGTTTTCATTGATAAACAACATATTCTTGTACAAAAGACACATAGCGTAAACTTGATTTTGGCCATGCTTTGACAGCTAATTCACGTGCTTATGTCAAAAGTACGTGCTTTCTTAAATTAAAAAAAAAATAGATTATATTTATAAAGAGAAAATATTTTCTCATTTGTTGCATGAGAATTCAATTCTTCATGTTGTGACCCTTCGATTTGCATGCAAAGCTTTTCTTTTCTTTCTTTTTTTAATAAATGTGAGGCCCACCACTAGTTGAGTCATAACATGAAAATTCAATTCTCATGTCAAACTCCATTTATAAATTCTTATAAACTACACTGCATATTCTGGGAACTACACGAAAATATATTTTCCGAAATACATAATATAATTTATAAGAGTTTATAAACAAAAAAATTTGTAAATATAACATTTCTTTCAAAAATACATAAACAAAACTTTCTTAGGTTTCTAGAGTGTAGAAAATTGAACAAACGTATTGGAGAATATATGAAATGGTGATTGAGGTTCGGCCACGTAGTATAGGATATTGTGCTACATTCACGGTCACCAATCATGACGTTTTAACACTATCCAGGAAATAGCCAACGGCCGTTGTCTGTTTCTTTCTTTGTTTTGTTGCTTGCTGTATAAATGTTGGGGCTCACCTGTCTTTTCCATTTGTTTTTCTTCCTCATAATAACATGCCAATTGTCAGCTATTTGGTTTATTGGAAAAGAATAGCAAGAAATTTTGGGATCTGATTTTGATCAATTTTGAGTGTAACTTAGTTGTAACATACATATTTAATTTCCGTGTCCCGTGTAACATACATATTCAATTTTGATTGTATTAGTATATTATCTTAAAATTACACAAGAATTTTTCCTATATATTGCCTTTGTCTGAAAATATTTGTCCTCGTAAGAAGGAAAAATTTATTTTACCGCGACAACAATTGCACAAACTTAATTTGTTCTGGCCTCTTTCCAATTATCATGCACTCCACGAATGTTTGTTCTGTTTTATCCAGACTGCACCAAGCTACAGATCCTCGAACTCCATAACAATTCTTAAAAAGTATTATTTCGTTTCAATTTATGTATAAACTTCTAAAATCAACAGAGTACTTTTTTTTTTAATTATACCCTTATCATTTAGTACCTCATAAGAGAAGTATTGATAAAATAATAATAATTCAAAGATTTAATAAAGAATAATTTAGTTACTGCACTTACAATGTTTTTATAATTGAGGCTAATTAATACCTTACCTAGTTACCTTATACAACATATATTAAAAAAAGAAGCAAACTTTTCATTATATAGCAAGTGAAAGGAATAACTTATAATGAAAATAAAATAAGCAAATATTAATACATAATTAAAAATCACACTTGTCTATAATCCTAAAACTTGTATTTTGAATCTATTTCCCCATTCCAGATAGAAAAACTGACTACAAAACTAGGTTTTAATACATCACTGATTTCTGAAATTTGACAAGCTAGTCCCCCACATGATATAAAGCAAGTCACCTCAACAGAGATAAATAACTCATGTCAAAATTCTCTTACAGATGATTGAAATAGTAGTATTTTCCATCATCTTCCTTATACTTTTTTTATGTTTGCCAGTAAAATTTTAACATAACATGGAAAATTGAAACAAATGTTACTATTCTTCAGCTACCTTCATTTTCTTTTTTAACCGGATCTGAGCTCACAATAGGAAGATTTCTTCTGTACTGCTGAGATGTCAATCTCCTTTCCAATGGTGTTTTCCTCTTGCTCACAACAAATCTGTTCACCCCTTTGCGCATGGGCATTATTGAAGGAAAATCTTCATCTGGAATCTGACTGAGCTCAGAGATATCCTTAATCTGTGCAGCACGACGGAACCACCTCTCTGCCTTTGCCTCCTCTGACATGTCCAAAGGATCCGGTTCCCTCACTGCTGAACCCTCCAAACTCTTGCCTGTCCATTGTGCTCTAACACTCTGGTTCTCAGATGTTGGGGATGAATTCTCTGTCAAAGATGAACTCCCTGTCGAATTTGGCACATGATCTTCTTTCCTGTTCCGCCCAGAATCCTCTTGATTAAAACTCTGGCTTGAGTTTCCACTGGTTGTTGTCTCATAAATAGAACCAACATGAATGTTATTTGAGCTCTGTTCAGAAGGTTTTGGACTCAGTCCAGGTCCAGCTCTAGCATCATCTGACATCTCTGGAGGCTTATCTGGCACCACCTCAGATACTATAGATGATTCGACATTGGATCTGTCCGCTGAATCTGCCTGTTGCTTGTCATTTTTGGCAAAGTAATCTGGGGGGAAGGGGACAAAGGGAACAAAGTTGGTATTGCCAGATTGCTCCATGGCCATACGTCTCTTATATGCTGGTGTAGTCAAAGAGCGATCTTTTTTCTTGCTAACAACAAATCGATTTTCTCCTTTACGCATGGGCATTATTTCAGGGAAATCCTCATCAGATATTGCACTTGTTAAATCTCCAACACCATTCAGCTCAGCAACCTTTCTAAACCACCTCTCAGATTTTTCAGCTTGCTCTTTGTCCTCATCCCTGATGACATTTTGGCTTGTAGAATTATTCGAAAGCTGTGAACTGTAACCCGGACTAGTATGTTCAACATCAGTGTTTAATACCACCTCTTTGCTCTCCTCTGCTAGCAAGTTCTCAGACTTTTGGGCAAGCATATCTGCAGACAATTGAACTGGAGGAACAGTACTATAGTTGCTCCCTGAAGGCCGGCTGTCACTACTGATATTTTGTTCAACAACAATGTTCTTATCGTCAGATTGAGGAAAGCTAGCTGAATGACCTAGAATGTCATCCAGGGTATCACGGGGCTTGGTTGACTCCCCAGCTATAAAATCCTCAACCCCAGGAACGCCATTATTGCCCAAGTTTCTCTTGTATTCAGCATTGGCCAACCTCCTCTCCAATGGAGTTTTCCTTGTGCTCACAACAAATCTATTTACTCCTTTCCTTAATGGCATTATTTCAGGAAAATCTTCATCTGCGATCACACTGTTAATGTCAGCACTGCTGTCTAGTTGAGAAACCTTGCTAAACCAACGCTGTGCCTTCTCTTCATTAGCAGCTAACCTAGCCTCAACATCTGAAGTATTAGAATTGTCTGTATTTCCATAACCCGTATGTGACATGGTATTGGTGGCATCCAAAGATATTTGTCCAGGCCGCTTGCAATCACATCTTAAGCAAGTCATATTCCTCCCATAATTATGGAAATCACACCTTGAAAATGAAAATCCTGTTATTTGGATGTCTATATCAAAGGTTAGGGGAGGGGGGGGGGGGGGGGGGAACATTTCAAAGGGAAGAAAATACTTACTGAGGACATTCCCATTCTCCTCCAGCCAGTTGTCTTTTTGGCCTTGCTTCCTCACACTCAAGACATTTAACATTTCTTGCAAAATTCATGAAATTACACCTGCTCAATATTAGAAAAAGGGTATGACGGCTTATCAGAATCTTGTATAATAATGGAGGAAACAAAATTAACTATGACAATCTGATGGACCTATAACAAATAATCCAAGCCCATTAGTATCTTAGAATTAGTATATATAGAAGTTTAGGGTGAGGTTTATGTTATGCATGTATTCAGAATTGGTTAGTGGGAAAATGGGAGACCTCTAGGGAACTCTTGAGCCTAGGTATTTGGTTTGAGGGGGAGTTGAGGCTTTCTGGGTTTATTTTTTGCATTTTATATTGTGTTAGTGTATGTAAAAAAAGGCTATGCCTCCATTGTTCATGAATTCAGTATTGTATTTTTCTGGGTTTCATCAATTTGGTATCAGAGCATTTCCGATCTAAGGGTGTTTCTGTTCCAGATTTGAAAATAAAATAAAATAATGGAAAACAAAGTGAACAGAATGGAGAGGAGCTTGGATCGATTGGAAGCAAGCATGGATCGAGTGGAAGAAGGAATGGATCGAGTTGAAGATGCTTTTCATCAACTTCAGAAAACAATTTGGACGTTAATAGAGCGCATCGATCCTTGTTTTGCAGAAGAAAAAAAAGCGAGAATCAAAGAAACAAAAGTCCAAAAAAAAAAACGAAACAGAAAAAAGAATTGGAGAAGAAAAAGAAGATCAAGAAAAGAAAGTAGAAAAAAAAAACAAATCGAAGAAGCAATCAGAGAAGAAAAAAAAAGAAGCAGCAAAAAGGCAAGACAACGAAGAAGATCAAGGGAGGAAGAAAGAGGGTTCTCGCGATTTGTCGAAGGAATCTGATAGGAATATAGTCATGTAAGTATATGTAGATATATGTAAGTTGGGTAGTAGGGGATTATTGGAGTATTACAAGTTTGTTAGTTAATATATTCTAGAAGAATTGCTGAGGTGGCAAGGTTGTTAGAAGGAATAAAAGGGGTGGAGTGGTGTGGAGAAGGATTCAGATTGGAACTTGAGACTTGGGCTGGGAAACCAGATTGGGAGAGAACCAGAGCACTCTCTAATTTCTCTGGAAACCATTTAGCTTTTCTTATATTTTTCTTTTATTTCATTATTGTCTCATATTGTAGTTGTATTTTCCTTTCTGAAATATAATAGAAAATCCAGTTCTTCTGGGCCATTTCTCTAGTGTTAGTTGCGTTTTACTCTGATATTTTGACAGATCCTAACAAAATAAAAAAAAAATTCCACAATTTCCTTTATCAACTGGTGTGACTCAAGACCAAAAGCCATTAAATCAAAGGAGAACCTTCACCTCATGGATGATTTGGAAGAGATAATGGTGTTAGCACAATGCATGGAGGAGAGGGAGAGCTTCCAATGTCAGGTTGGAACAACTACGATTTGGACGGGTTATGGGTTAGAAATTGGGTTTGGATGGTATTCAACTTTGGGTAATAGGAAAAAATGGGTTGGGCTCAATTCCACCAAATCTCATAATAGAAATGGGCCTAATCCTGTGGCCCAACATGGAACCCAACAAACTGAGGGTCCAAGTCAATCTTCTGTTCTTGGGAACCCACAACTCTATGTGATGTTGCTAGAATATGGAAGCAAAGGCGAGACTGGTGGAGATGAAATGGGGATGCACACGAATGGAAGGAGCACCAGTAGAACGGTCGGCGGCGACTGAAGGAGCTCACAGTTCCGGCGACTTTCTCCAGAAGAAATGGCAGAGGACTTAGTCGCTTTCAAGAATGGTGGTACTGCTGGTTTCAAACCACAAGGAATACTTCCAGTGATGCTGGATGTTGATACCAACAATCAAAAGTTATTAGAAGACCGCCTTCACTTAGGATTTCGACAACCAAGGTTGGAAGGTGAAGAATATATATCAGTTGTGGATGAATTTTTGGAAGTTGTTCATGCTCGCTGGCCTAAAGCTATTGTACAGTTTGAGGATTTCCAATTGATGTGGGCTTTTGAAACTCTAGAACGATATCAGGTTTGTGCATATGTTTCAGGTGCCCCATTTGCTAAAAATCCAAGAGACATGTTTCAGGTGTGGGGCTTTTTTTCTTGGGCATGTTCTGATTATGGGTGCCGACCCCAATTAATTTGGGATAAAGGTGTTGTTGATGTTGATGTTGATGTTCTGATTATGGGTAAGAGAGGGTTAAGCCCAATGGGCTTAACCGTGGGGCTATTGAACCAAACATCTTTGGGCTCCAAAGGAAATGCTAGACGCTAGTGGTCCAAATACTCTTTTTTTCGGAGGCCCGCAAATAGGGCAGAAAACTGAGCTTACAAGGAGTGGAAATACCCCCAGTTTCTTGGTCAAAGAGGTTGCAGGAAATTGGGCACAAGTGCAGTTTGAAAGCAAGGTGGCAATGGGATCAGACAGTTGCAATTTTCTAACTTAAAGCATCACTTGTTCTGTATGCTTCAAACAATGGGATCCTGGTGGAAGCTCTTTCGGGTTACCTATCCTCTTTCTTCACCTTGAGAACAAGGTGAATTTTGAAGGGGGAGTATTGATGGGCCTATAACAAATAATCCAAGCCTATTAGTATCTTAGAATTAGTATATATAGAAGTTTAGGGTGATGTTTCTGTTTTGCATGTATTCAGAATTGGTTAGCGGGGAAATGGGAGACCTCTAGGGAACTCTTGAGCCTAGGTATTTGGTTTGAGGGGGAGTTGAGGTTTTCTGGATTTATTTTCTGCAATTTATATTGTGTTAGTGTATGTAAAAAAAGGCTATGCCTCCATTGTTAATGAATTCAGTATTATATTTTTCTGGGTTCCATCACAAATTCACAATCGCTCCACAGTCACCTTGGTGTTCCAGTATTACACAAGTAATTTAGTTTGTTGAGACTCAAAAGTAAAAATTTAAAATAATTAAAAAACAAATTACCTTGGGCAAATCCAATCACCCCTTTTCATTTCAATATTTTGTCTAGGAGGCATTTTCTGTCCAAATCTACCAGGCATTTGACTTTGCATTGAAGAAGAGTTAGGTCCAGGTGCATTATAACTCAGCTTGAAAAGTTCACCAAACAGATTTCTCACAGATGATTCAACAAGATCTCTGTTATTTAGACTGTTCCTTTCCGAAGAGACCAATGGGTTAATTGCATAACTCAGCATAAACTTCATTAGATCAACCATATTTGCTCTATCAGTGTCCAACACCTATGAAAAACATATCAAGCACAACTAGATCAGCAACAGCTTTAATGCAATTGTCAAAATTTGATATTAAAGAAGGTATGTTCCATATATTATGCATATGCTTTCTCAAATATTTCGGAATGAATTGAAAAGATGAGCCTAGGCAGAAGTTCATGATTCCAGGTAATCTCTTCTTTTCTACGTTTCTTTTGAACCACAAGAGATATGCATTTCAGAAAAGGTTACATAGTCAAAAAGTCCAACCACCACATGTTTTTTAAATTGCTTTCGAGTTTCTGGTAGTACGCACCACAATGCTACTTACATAATTACGGATCTTATGGTGTTAAATAAATGATAACAGTAATAGGATATTAAAAAGGACCAGTAACTACACTTGAATAAAAGTAATAGAGGTAAGGTAAATCTATCTTCTTCTTCTTCTTTTTTTTGGAGATTATCCCCCCGGTAATCCGGAGTTCGGGAGGGTCCAAGATTAAGGATCTAAACCCCTCTCAAAGATGATACTGAGGAGAATCGAACACATGCTCTCACCCTCACCTGTCAGCTCCCATGTGTTAACTGAGCTACAATTATTAGGTGGTAAACCTATCTTTTCAAACACAAATAACCCATTTATATTAGAAAAAAGTCAACGAAGCCTGAAAGAGCATAACATAAAAGAGAATTTATCATCATTAAGGCCAAGTGCAATGCAGGAAATTTGAGAGGAAAGAAAAGTGAAGAAATTGATGTACGTAACATGTAGTCTCCCCCAACCCCAAAGAAAGTGTTTCATACCAAATATTGCATAAGATCTCTCTATGAACTAAGGCATAGAGAAATAAAAAATGCTGCATATAATACTTCGAACATAAGATATAGAAAATGTAATATTAGCAACATTGAGAGAATGAAATAGTTGGCAATGCAAAATAGAATAACTTAGCACTAACACTGGCATCAATGTTTGACACAAAAGACTTCATCCTCCTAACAGAATCCTCAGCTTCTCGAAACAGAAAGGGAGAGCCATGTTCAACCACCACCGCAATGTCTCTCATTGAAAGCAACCTACAATCATTCAATTCAGTTATATTCAATTCAATAATCAGTGAATTCAGTACCAAAATTCAACAAACTCGGAACAGAGAATCGGAATTTCGAAAAAAAAAAAAAAAACAAACCTTAGAAGGTTGGGTCGGTCGCGAGCGAAGGCCAAGCAGGCAGTCGCTTGGCGCAGGACAAGCTGCGACAACTCTACGGCAGCGCCGGCGGCGAAGGCGTCGTCGGGAGCAGTTGCGACGTAGCCGGTGGAGGAGATGTGGGAGAGAAAAGTGGACCACTCGGGCCAGGGTTCGGTCCTGAGAGAGGAGGGAGATTGGGTGTGAATGTGTTGTTGTTGTTGTTGTTGTTGGTGTTGGGAGGCTTTCAGTTTCAGTTTAAGAGGAGAGGGTAAGGAAGAGGTAGAAGAAGAAAAAGAAGAAGAGAGAGAGTGGAAATGGTAGGAGAAGGAAGGAGAGAGGAAGAGTAGCTTACGGTGGTGGTGGTGGTGGTGGCGGAGAAGAGGTAAGGGAGTGGTGAGCAGAAAAAGGAACCTTGGGGCGGCGCCACCCATTTCTTCTTGAGATGAGGCTGTAAGACAATGCCCCCAAGTAATTTGCTACTAAAAGATGAGATTTTTTTATCTTAAAAAAAAAAAAAAATGAGATTTTTGTATACATACCAAATGAACTCGGTTAAGCTAAACTTTGTCTTATATAGGTCAAACTTGTGTAAAAGTATTGGGTATGACCCTATTAGCTTGTGTAGATCCCAAATTACAAGTTTGACCTGACCTATTTAAAAATTAAAGGGTTGGCCTAGACCTCTTAGCCTGTTTAAGCCTATTAATCATTCAATAATTAAAGGAATAACTAAAATAAAATTATTTTATTATTCAAAATTATTAAAATAAAATTATATTTATTATATTTTAAATAAATAATATGATATAGGCTGGCCTATAAATTTATAGACCAGACATGTACAAAAAAGTCTATGACTTCTTTTCTAAATAGGTATTTTTAAAAACTTAGACCTTTTTTATTTTATTATTTATAATAGGTCAAATCTGACCTAATATAGGCTAGGTCGTAGGCCCCTGTAGTGTAGCCGACCTAACCCATTTACATCCTTACATAAGAGAGAGAATATAAAATGTGTTTTTTTTTTACTGCAATTTATTTTTCAGTGTACTTATCTTTTTTTCTAAATTTTTCATTAATTTTTTAATATTAAAAGTTCATTTTTCTAAACTCGAAGCTGTATTTGGGCTTGCTAATTGAATTGTTTATGCACTCAAAATTCAAATTTAGCTCTCAATTGTTATGATCTTAATCTTAGAGGGCCTAATTAGTGTTTAATCGGGAAGCCTCTCAGCGGGTTCAAACCTTTTAGTAAGGGTGTTCGTGGTCTAGATTGGACTGATTTTAGAAGTAAAAATCATCTGATCCAATTCATTCGGTTTAATTATGTAATCATCTATTTGGTTTGAATTTTTTTTTCAAATTCGATCCGATCCAATCCAATCCAATTTTATTCGGTTTGGATTGGATCGGTTTTTGATTTTTTGAAAATTCTAAGATTTGTATGATGATTATTTGGCAAATAACATATCTTTTATATGTATCGGCTTTGTAAAGTTTGTATGATGATTATTTTGCAATCTAGAAGCATTGTACAACAAAAGTTAAATTATCATCTTTTACTTTCAACGAAAAATTTATAATATGGTTGTCTGAGATATGAAGTAACCCAAATTTTCATCTTATAGAGAAGCTGTTGTACAACAATAACCTATGTAATAAAAATATATTATGTATCTTACCAAAAAAAAAAAAAAAAGCATAGATCAAACACAACTCATTTTCTCTAACATGATGGGTTAATGAATTTTGGATTTAGAATTTTGTTATATGATTTTTGCGTTATGATTGGAAAAAGGTACAAGTAGGTAGATGGTAATGTATGAAAATAATTGGATCGATTTTTACCAACCCATCCAAAAACTGATTAAATTTTGAGGGTTTTTTTCGATTTTCGATTTTTCGATTTTCGGTTAATTCGATTTTCGATTTTTCAGTTCAGTTATCACGATTTGAATCAGTTTTGATCAGTTGATGAACACCCCTACCTCTTGGCCCTCGGTGGTGGTGCATTGAATGTAATTGTGTACCAAATAATGGATTGGATAAAAATTTAATCATACTTGTTATAATCAAATCTTATATTATCAGATCTTATACAAGTAGAAGTTATCTTATCCTATATATCAAACATATTCTTAATAGGATTGATTAGTTTACGGTACGATACAAAAACAATGTTAGTTACCTTTATATCTCATAAAAGAATTAACCTAATCAAGAGGAACACACGTTCAGTGCAGTGGTATGCAATGAAGTTGTGTATGGAATAGAAGCATATGAGTAAGGCTAAAATGCCACTCCTTACATTTACAGAAAGAAACAGTATAAGCTACATAGTTTTTTGTACGCATTATAATAAAACAATAAAAAATAATGGTGAGAAAACAAGCAGTTTGTAGAGTGGTTTGAGATTTGAGATGGAGTTTAATCTAAAATAGTTCTGGATGGAGAAGGCTGAGATGTTGATTCCTGCATTTTTATATATAAACACTATCATTAATATAAATTGTTAGGATTCAGTATAAAAGGACAGATCCCAAGTAGGGGAAAGAAAGTTGATTTGCCACATATATATCCAATATAACAATTAGTGTTAACCGATGAAATGCACGTTTAAAGACTTCAAATGTAATTCTCATTTTTTAAGAACTAATATAACGGACGGTGTATCTTTCAAAGACTAATTGAATCGTAATAATAAAAAAAGACTAATTGAATCATTTACTCTTTTTAATGCATTCTAAATAGAAAAAAAAATAGCATTTGCTGTTTTAATATTCATGCTGATATATTTTCCCACTAATAATCCCGTAATTTAATAATTTAATCCTAGAAGATGACGAGAGAATAGGTTTTGACCAGTTGGCATTAAAGAGAGAAGTGATAAAGAAAAGGTGTAGGACGATATATTAGTTCTACTCAATCTGGATTTTTTTTTTCTATAAATTTAAACATATTTAATGCATTCAACATAAGAATAAAAAAGTTATTTTTCTCATAATGCAACTAAATATTAAAATCTGAACTAATTTATAATACACTCTTTTATTTCACAAAAATTAGTCCCGTATAACATACGTATTCTAAAAGAAATAAAAAAAGATAACAAATAAGTTTTCTGTAAACAATTTACTTGCAAAGTAAATCGTACAACATAATAAACATCACTATGTGAACCAATTTCTTCATAACAAATAGAGCAATATTACAAAACTTAATAATATCTTGCTATAATTATTCAGAAATAATGACAATATTGTTAAGCTTGGTTCAGCATATCATTAGTCACGAGATAGAAGAAAAGGTTAAGGAGGGCCAAAAGTTGTTTCCTCATGAATAATTCTGTTAGTTGATTATTTAGAAGATACAATCATTTCATGACTGAAAAAGAAGAGATATATCTGATACAGTAAGATAAAAGGTTGCAAAGGAATGACAAAAAAAATACAAATGCTTAAAATACATGTTCCAAAAGCCCCATCAATAATTATTTGTCTTCTAAACAAAAATCAAAATTAGAGGGCACCTTCTCATCAGCTTAGGAAAGAACAATAGGTTGATCACACAACTGCTCCAACTCAACTTCTAAAATTTTATACAATTTTGTTTTGTTCCGCCTATAAATCCAAGTTTTAGTATCCTGATCCCAATCAAATCTTGAAGGACCACTGCATAAGAGATGGAGTCTTTTAGACAGGTCTAAGAGATCTTAGAAAATGTACAGAGAGGTAGATAATATTAAATATATATGCAATCTTGATTATTATACCTATTTTGGCCTATGTTCGATATCAAAGGCCATCTAGTTTAAGTACAGGCTATACAGCAGATTAAGAAGACAAACAGAAGAGATAGCAGAACATTATTCCATCAAAAGATGCATGTCCAAATTTTCTTCCACTTCAATAAACAGATCTACACTTAAAGCCTTGGAATCACACAAAGGCTTCCAAAATGACAAGACATTTGAAATAGTTACGATCAATCATAATGTCACTTACGGCTGAATATATAAATAGTTGCTTCTTTGTTGAGGTGATGATCAAAATAGCAGTGAGGGGAGATACAATGACTTTATGATACCATCTCTTATAAGTTATGGTAATGACTGACTAGATTGGTCTGAATATATTTTGGATACATAATATTATAGCATCTCTACATGCAAAGGGCTAAACCTATATCTTAATAGAATAGTAAAATATAAACAAAGATACCCATCATTGATCTCAGACTCAGTTTATGTAAGAGGTTGTGAGTACTTTCTTCCTAAAGGAAAAAAAAAACATGTGTGAATGAAACCTGGCATAAAATGTTGCATATATCCCCACACTATCCCAGAGAACAATTTAGACAAAGAAATTAAACCAATGACAGATTTCATGTGAAGTCCACCAACCCTTGCTTTTTTCTTCTCCACCAATATGATAAGACAAGTTAATATGCAAAAGGATTATATTAATTACAGAGTTTCCTTATTCACTTTTCTCCGGTTCATCATACATAAAGATATCCAAAGAAATATTTGCATCTGATTGTGATAAAACTACTCAGTATTCAGTAATTAGCATATAAAGAAAGCAAAGCTAGCACAGTTTTATATGAAGTATTCACATGCAATATAATATATGGACACTGATGGCCAGCGATTAAAAAAAAGATTTCTTAGCTAAGAAGCAAACCATACATAGACAGATAACCCATAAACACACTTAATCTAATACCTCACTGGAGAAGAGAGCCAAAGTTGTCTATTTGGTGTTTGTTTGTTCAATACATAGGTGCCCAGATCACCAAGTTTTACAGTCAAGACATCATTCTGAAAAGGAAAACCATGTTGAAACAATTAATACACCTCCTACACAAGGGAGCCACTTCTTAAATCTAACAGGAAGAAGTAAACTAAAATCTTAAAAGGAAAAAAACTAAAACAGCAATTTATTTTTCGGAAGACCAAATAACTACGCCGAGATTCATTTAAAAAAAAGATGGTTATAAATGTGATTATTCGAAATAATCACTTACAACAAGATAAATTCATGTTTGTCTTCTAAAATAGATAAAGTTTTAGGATACTTTTTTTATATCAATATTTTATAACTAATTCACCCAAAAAAAAGCATTCTCACCGCATAGTCTATGTCAAATCCGTCAATTTCAACAGAGTCTCCATAGTCCTGCCAAGCAACAAGCAAAAGAAAATAAAATCCAACACAGTTTAAATAATACGAAATGAATACATTGTGACAGTGAAGTTTCCATCATAGCAAAGACTATTCTCCAATCAAAACAAATTGTTTTTAAGCATAATTTTATCACGATTGCATATTTGTCAAACAAGGGAAAGATTTGTAGAGGATGTCAGGAACCGTGATTGGCATATAATAAAAATTTAAGTTGGTGCAAAACACAAAGCAATGCTAAAGATACCTCCAATTTCTCTTGTAGGCTATGTATTGTGGAATCAGCCAGTCTGTGGAATTCATCCTCCTGCAGTAGAGAACTGCATTCACATTAATTATTAGCAAATTCATTTCCATCCATATAAAAATAAATAAATAAACAAAGCAACTATTTCAATAAGATTAAAATTTACAACCTTTTAAGCATTAGCAAGTAAGTGTGACTGACATTTGGATTCTCAAAATTATTCTTCCAACACTCACAAACCCCAATGTCAAGCCTTCCCCTTGAATGCTTTGAATTTCGAAGTTAAAATTTTTATAAACAAACCAATAATCGAAATTCGAAAGCTCAATTTTTTTTTTTTTTTGTTAAATAAACAACAACTAAAAATGATAAATTTGAAAAGTTTTAAGGTTTCGAGGAATCAAATAAGAACATATAAACGAAAAACACAAAAGGGTATGTCATACCGGTAATCAATAGTCGTGGGGGCTTGAGATTCATCAAGAAGATTCGAACTGCGAGAGCAGAAGCTTCTAGAAGAAGTTGAGAGAGGAGGAAGATGGGCATTCTCCTTGAAAAGACCCACGATTTCTGATGCTTTTACAGAAAGGAATCGTGCTCCATGAATCGAAGAAGAAGAAGAAGAAGAAGAAGAGAGTAAGGAGGGTTTTGACAGTTGCAAGAGCCTTCTTCGCAAAAGCAGCTTGGAGGCCATAGCTTTTGTTACCTCAGCGGTGAATGTTATTAGATCATGAAAAATAAAACTTTTAGTCCCAATCTCAACAATTCAAAAGGCCCAAATTTTCAAGTTCTAAAGTTGGAAAGAATCTATATAATCAATATATTTACATTACATAATCCATATCAGTCAATACTATCATATCAATACCATTTCAAATATAATCTATATATAATTAGTCAATTAATTAGTGCCGAATAAAAAAAAAAAAAACAATAGAGTAAAATTTTGCTTGGAGACAACTTTGTGACTCTAATACCTTATAAAAATTTTAATATAGGAAAATACTATTCTCATTTTATATGAAGTAGTTATCTCTTTTTCTCTTACTTCAAAAATTGTGCTTTTTTTTTTTTTTACTTTTAAATAGTAGGACCTACTTGGATTCTGTCTGTAACATGAGAGAACTACTCTCATGTTACATGAGAGTAATATTACCCTTTAATGTATCATAATTTTTTTAACATGCGTTATGCATTATAAATTGTTGAAGAAATTGAAATCTTATTTTCAAATGCTATCCTGTTATAAAACATTTAAATCTTCGTTTCCGTCCTATACCCTATCTTAATATAAAGATGTCCTAAGTTATAATTTCAGTATTTTACAATTTTTTTTAATATATCGATCATAATTATTTCTTTAAGATGAATTGATCTCTCAAATATTTCAACAAATTTTAATTTTTTGAATTAATTATTAGACTAATCCTGAGTTGACATCTTATTTGACTATTTAGACTCATTGAGTTTCAACCCTCTGAGTTACTTATCCCTCCCAAATATATATTTGGACATTTTTTTTTGTCTAAAGTACATGATTAGTTTGATGGAGCTAAATCCCTTAATATGCCATGGTCCTCCCCAAAGCGTAGCACTTGGGCTTGGCTTTTCGCGGAGCGTTTGGTACCGTAGATATTTTTTTTATTGAGAAAATTTAATTAATAGAAAAATGATAAAAAAGTGAGTTTAATGGAAAAGTTTAAAAAAAGATGTTTGATTCCTCCAAATATTACAGCGGAAATTTATGTAAATTTGCAAAGCCTATATTTGATTGAAGGTAAAATAGTGATGAGAAAATAGGTTGAGTCGACCAAAATACTCCTGTTGTAACAACTAAAGTCTCTCACTTTACACGCATGCAGGGTCATTTCGGTCCTGAAGTTGATACCCCTTTTTTTACTTCCTCACTTATCCTAAAATACACAGTAGTATTTTAGAATAGTTAATTTCATTCAAAAAAACAACTATGAAATCATTGCCGAAACTTCCTATTTGCATTGTTTCTTTTTCTAAAACTTAAATCAAACATAGTCAAATTCAATTGCCACCCACACTTCCCCAAAACTTAGGAGACGTTTGGTTCAGGAAATTTTTTTGGAATAGTAGAGAAATGAGATAGATAGAGAAATGATTGGAAAGATAGATAAAGTGAGATAGGTAGAAAAATGTAAAAAAAAGTTGTTTGGTGGGAAAAAACTTTACTGGGAAAATTAGGTAACTTTATGAAATCAACAGTGCATTAAAAGCCAGATAACCGATTTTCCGAAAAATCCCACCTTCAAATTGGGTTTCTAAACAATGCGGATATCTATGTTTCTCATAAATCCAGACAAATTGGATAGATGGGTTTTTGGTGAAAAACATTGAAACAAACATGGTGTTTCTAAAAGCCTCACTTGAGAAAGATAGATATCCGCTGAAAAGCTCCCAACCAAACACCACCTTATAGTATTGTGAAAAACTGGGCAGCTCTCTGTTTTGTAAGTGGCAATTTTATTTTTTAATTAAATTTAAATGGGACCAAAGAAAGAAAATGAAATACAAGAGAAGAATTTTAAAATTATAACTGGAAGAAAAACAGAGAAAAATGTTTACAGAATTATTTTTTTCCAATTTTTTCAACCAGTGTTCAAATCTTGCTGTTGGGAATAACACAACCAAGATTTAGTCAAGTTAGTTCAAGGTTTACCCGGTAACAAGTTTAACAGCCAAACAGATTTTTGAGCAGGCCATCAGATCAATTTTTTATTTTATTATTTATTCTTTTTTTTTTTTAACTGCACAGTGCAAAACCTTAACTGGTCGTAGCTAAATCAGACCAGACAAATGAGCAACTGTTTGCAAGAATGTAACAATTACGTAATCAGTCACTCAACAGTCAACACCCACAATGAATTAGTAAAGCACAAAACCAGAATGTGAACACTAATATGTACGAAATTGAAATACCTCAACCATAAATGCACAACTATGGATTTGTCACTAACAGGAAACTTAACAACACAGATTTGTCAAAAGTAACGACCTTATATCAAGTGTTATAAAGTTCAAGCATGGAATTACTGAGATAAGAGGAGTGCCACATCAGGTATCAAATTTTATAATGTTAGCTTCCTTCACATGATACAAGGGTCATTATGTGGTAGGTACTAATTTAAATGAGTATCGATTACTGTAATTAAAGGAAGCAAATACAATTTCTACGGCAATTTGAGGTTGCCGGCAACTCCAGAAATGAGATGAAGAAGAAAAGAAAGCAATTACGCTTATGCAACGTTCATACCCCTCTCAGCTATCCCTTCCCTAACTATAAAGACAGCACAACAATAAAGCAAAGTGGGCTATTCCCATTACTGGCCCAAATCTACTACAAGGACATTTACTTATTGAATTGGGCTTATACAACTATTGGCCCAAGACACCCAGCTGACCCACTCAGACCATAGTCAACCTGGTTGCCACGTTTAACTCTTAGCTAGCTCTTAGACATAGTCTTCCATCCATCCTGGTCGGTTCCTTTTTCTCTCTCCCCTTCGTCTCTCTACATCTTCCTCTCCTTGTGCCTCATGCTCAGCCTCCGTTACTGCATGGATGAGGTGCGCATCATTTTCCTCCCCCGTTAAAGAAGCGATCTTGCCCTCAAGATCGAAGTTGGGAAAGGCTTGGGTGAAATTGGAAACGGAGATCCACGAAGCATCCTCGAGCGATGTGTCAGACAACTGGACCAGCACTTGCAAGTCAGAAGCTTTCCCTTTGGAGATGGATCGAGTGCGCAGCACTGCGACGGGCTGGACCACTGAGTGGTTGTCAAGTTCCTCCGGCGGCAGAGATTGAGGGTGAAAAAAAGGGCTTTGGTGGAACGGTTTAAACAGAGAGACGTGAAAGACGGGATGGATTCGCGAGTGAGAAGGCAGCTCCAAGCGGTAGGCCACCGGTCCGATGCATGCCACTATCAGGAAGGGTCCATAGTAGCGACGGCGAAGCTTGGAGTAGCTGTGACTGCGAACTGACATCTGGCGGTATGGTTGAAGCTTGACCAACACACGATCGCCGACTGAAAGCGAACATCACGACGGTGTTTGTCAGCCGGGGTTTTCATCCTCTGTTTGACACGATGTAACTGTTCACGCAACTGTCTAACTATGGAATCCCTCTGTGAGAGCAGAGTATCGACAGCTTCGATGGGTGAAGTGGAATGCTCATATGGGGGAATGGTTGGGGGCAGGTGCCCATACACAATCTGGAATTGAGTGGACCCGATTGAAGAGTGAAAGGACGAAATTGTAGGAAAATTCAACCCAAGGTAGAAATTGACTCCAAATCTTGGGATTTTTCATGGTGTAGCAACGAAGGTACTGCTCTAGGCCTCTGTTAGTGACTTCCGTTTGGCCATCGCTCTCTGGATGGTTCACCGTACTGAAATGAAGGCTGGTGCCACTTAGTCGTGAGAGCTCAGTCCAAAACTTGCTGAGAAAAATCCGATCACGATCAGAGACTATCGTTTTGGGGAGGCCATGGTGCCGGCAGATATCCGAAATGAAGACAGAAGCAACCTTAGTAGCGTTGAAATTGCCAGTCAGAGCTGAAAAATGGGCATATTTTAATAGGCGATCAACGACCACCATAATTGTCGTTTTACCATCGGAATTAGGAAGGCCCACAATGAAATCCATCGACAACTCTTCCCAGATAACTCGTGGAGTGGGCAAAGGCTGTAGTAGCCCAGCTAGAGACAACGGCTGGTATTTTGTCACTTGGCACACAGGGCACGTTCGGACAAACTCTTGAACATCAACCTTCATGTTGGTCCAGTGGAAGTGAATGGAAACTTGGTGCAAAGTTTTGCGTACTCCCCCATGCCTACCGACAACTGTGGAATGGAAGTCATGGAGAACAGTGGTTCTGATGTCCGAGTCACAAGCCAACACCAGTCGCCCTTTGAAATAAATCAACCCTTCACGCAACAAGTAATGTTCTGTTCCATCTTTTTTTGCCTGAATTGTTGTTGCTAATCGCACTAATTCTGGTTTCTTTTGTACTTCCTCCCTTATAAGGTCAAGCAAGGGGTTTACAAGACTACTAAAAGCCATAAGTACAGCTGTATCTGGTGGAGCGTCCTTGTCTCCTTCATGAACTCGGGAGAGCGCATCAGCAACTTTGTTAACAGCCCTTGGGTAGTACTCGATAGTGTAATCATACCCCAATAATTTTACCAAGAAACGCTGCTGCTCTAGCGTCTGAATCACCTGTGCCATCAACTCCATGATGCTCTTTTGATCAGTCCTTATGGTGAAGCGATTCCCCAGTAAATACTGTCAAAACTTTGCTACACTTTTGGTGATAGCAAATAGCTCCCTAACATATGTTGAAGATTGCTGCATCTTGGGAGACATCTTCCTACTGAAATATGCAATGGGTTGATCGTGTTGACTGAGGACTGCACCAACTCCAGTCCCTGAAGCATCAGTGGTCAGAATAAAGGGCTCTGCAAAATTTGGAAGGGCCAAAACAGGAGCATGTGACAAGGCTTCCTGCAGTTTAGCCATAGCTCAAGCAGCATCCTCATGCCAAGTAAAAGCATCCTTTTGTAATAGGCTCGTGATGGGTGACGCAATCTGTGAAAACCCTTTGACAAACCTGCGATAGTACCCCGCCAACCCCAAAAAACCCCTCAACTGTTTGATGGTCTGAGGTGTCTTCCAATCCTGGATTTCTTGTATTTTTCCTCCATCTGGCCGTACTCCTTCAGCACTCACCACATGCCCCAGATACTTC